ATTTGTTTATTAAATATTGTGAAAAAAGGTAAAAATTAATGTTCACTTTTTAGTATGTGCCCTAACAATTTAAAGCAGAATATTAATAAATAAATAATATTGGTTTAATGTAATAGAATTCAGTATTTTGAATATTTTATTATACTTCGTCAGAAATGCATGCCTAACGAAAAACTTCGTTGTTCTCAGTGTAAGTCGCGACTGAATTCCTACCGTACGATACGGCCGGTGCGTGTCTGCTGTAGTCAAAGGGTTAAAAGCATACAATTTCATACCAGTCAGTTTCAGATTCAAATAAAGACACAGCAAGAGAAAACATTTCAACTATAAACCAATGTGTTTACAAAAATAATCTCAATTGACAACCAGTATCCAAAATTATATCTAATATCCAATTATGATTATTATGAATTTAATATACGTTTTATTACACTAGTGTGGACCCGGGGTCCTTTAAATTGTATTACATTTACATAAAAACACATTCTAATACAGTAAATTGTCTTACATCTTTGTGCACCTGCTCGATGATCGAAAGTATAGCATTCTCCTTCTCATTTCTCAAGTAGCTTACGATATCAGTATCGGCAATTGGATCTAAAGGCTCAAACGTACGTCGAGCACTCAATGATGTTAACTTCTGAGAAATCTGCGGTAGGTCTACTCCTCGTGATCCCAGAAGCAGGTGTCTACAACAATGTTATATTTCCTTATTAAATTTGTATACGCATTTCTTATTTGCATGAAATTATGATCAATATACGTCACATTAAGTTCATTTTATCGTATAAACTCCGAATCATCAACTGCAAGGCAAACGTATTTTATTAGAGGGGCTTATGAAATTTTCATTTTTTTACCTATATTTTCCGAGATGCCAAATGAACTTTAAAATTTTGTAATTGAATTGCGTATGTGTTCTAAAGGCTCGCGCGCATTATGCCGGGACGGATGGCAGCGCATTACATTTAAAAAATCCGCACGGTATCGATTTTATAGATTTTATATGAACCAAATATTAAGGACGGAATATTGCGATGCGTTGCGGCTCGCCCCGGTTGTATTGTGCGCGAGCCTTTATATGGACTATCGCGCATTACAGACGGGGCGCTGCGGGGCGCAGCGGAGCACATCGACAGATCGCACGCTAGGTGGATTTTTGCGCGGACCCGGTGCGGTCGTCAAAGTGTGCGACAGATCTGTGCAATAACGTACGCAACGCGGAGCATATTTTGCACGGGCGTGTGAGTTTTAAACTTGCAGGTAACTATCGTTCACCGTGTCATTACCGTTAGTATACAGGCAATTTCAAAATTTGCTTGTAATATACAGTTAGCATTGTGACATGGCAAAATCTTTGCCTGTCACAAGGGATTCTCAGTGCCGGAGCGGGGAAGAGTCCCTAGCAATCATTAGAATAAGCGTTGTATTATTTTAAAAATGTATGTAAAACTTGCGACAGACCCAGCGGTGCGCAGGCGCCGGGAGCTCGGTGCTCGGATAGGCTTTTCACAGGCTAACGGACAGCGCGCGGGGCCCCAAATTCGGGGGTCCTGCTGCCATCAGTCGGCGGCCGCCCTAATTAGGCTAGTGACCTAATCAAACTAGGCGAGAGGGCAGATCGGTGCCCGGTAAGAAGTTCCGCGAGGCCCAGTAGGAGGACATCGGCACCAGAACGAAGGATCTTCCGGCGTATCAGGCATTGCCAGAGGGACTACCGTACCGGCCACAACTCCCGTCGTCCCGTCCCGATTCGCCCCGAGGGGCGCAGCAGCGCTGTCGTTTGGAGGGATGAGCTGGACCGTCCTACCGAGCGAACTTCTTTCGATGAGCCCGAACCTGCCCAGGGGGGCTCTCCTAGACCGTCATTAGCCGATACCACGCCGTGAGCCGATACCACACCGTGATTCCCGCGAATTCATTTATGTCCGGGTAACTTAAGTCTCGACCCCGGAGGTTTGTTGCGTTTTAGAATAATTGGGACAATTGTAAATCTTCGCGGCGGATCTGCGCCGTCTGCCTAGTACCGACGCCCGCCCGATAGATTTCGTTGAACCAAGTTAAGGTCGAATGATGGGTAGACCGGGGCCGCTGCCCTTCGGGGAGTGATACCGCGTCGTGAGTAAATTCCGCGTGTACCGAGTTCGGAATCCCGAAATTGTTAAAGGCCACGGGAGGCGTTCGTTTCTATTTTTGTGTATTGGAAAATTCCGACGGGTGGGACTCCCACCCGCTCGATTATATCGCGCCCCGTACTGTCGTGTTTTTCTTTTCGAAGAACTTAATCAACGTCGGTAAAGATTTTTCTAAATACCTACGTTGCCGATGTTCATTTTTATATTAACAGCTGTATAGAATTATGTTGGGAATTGTACTAAATGGCATACTCCACCTGTCATTTTTGTACAATTATAAAAAAAAATCTAAGAGAAACTCTAGAAATCCTCTGGATTCATGGTTCCTGAGGCCATAATTGACAGCAGAGGGACCCCCTGCGCCATCTGTGATGTCCGTGTCACTAAATTTTCACTCCTAGACCTCATATTACCATCGTTTTAGCGTAAAAGCGCATAAGACACTTTTTTTGCCTTTCTCTCGTTCAAATGTAAGTTTCTCGATTACCAGAGTGTTCTAAATTGCCGTACAATTGTCCTGACACTTTCGTTTCTCATATTAGATCCTTCAATGATTGGATATCGATCGAAATGTGACAGCTCGACGCCATTTTGGTTCTGGTCTGGGCTAAGTTAAACATTTATTTCCAAAAATCCAAATTTTGGAAGTGTCAGGATAATTCCTAGATGCTCACGAGTCACGTGTCAGAGTTTCAGACGATTTGATCCAATACCATGAAAACAAAAGTATCTTATTCGAATCGACTGCTTTGAGGGGGGTTTCACCTTTAAGGGTACGGAAGGGTCCGCGTCCCCCCAATATTTCGACCTGAGGGTGGGTTTCCTTCCGACAAGGTGCTTCTACCACATGGAGGCACCTGGTTCGAACACTTTAAGACCGCGGTCCCGCGCCCTCCCCCCGTATCGCGGGGGCCTTCGACCCGGAAAGGGTACCGCTTTGGAACGTGGAGGAGGCTCCACAATCCGCCACGTTACAGTGTATATATTAATACACATAGGAAATCGTTCGGATACATGAAATAACGAAACATTTTACATTTATTTATTTATTATTGATTATCCAATTGCGCGAGGAAAAAATACATATGTAAAGAATGTATGCGCATTATATCCCATGGCCGCAAATTGAGATAATGCAAATTTTACGATTTCAACTAAGGGAATAAGTATTAATTAACGGAATGTTTTATATTCCAAGTACTGTTTAAACTTTAATGTAGAGGGTCTACCAATTGATTCACTCATAAATCAATAAACTTTTGTAAGCTCGTACTTCAACGTACAATTTTCACATTCCGGCTGAAGAAAAAAATGTATAAAATATGTCAAATGCGTTGCAGCATACACTTTTATTACGTTTCCTATCATTAATTTTATTTCCAGACTTCCGATTTCTTATAATCATTTACTATAGCCGTCTCTCCCATTCAAACTTACTGCTGCTGTGGTACTTAGTACCCGACCCCACCATCTGGCGGCACCATATTCACGAGGAAGACATTCATGACCGCCAATTTATAACGTTAACCAACCATGTCAGTTATGTCGGAGAACAGCCTATCCGGCAAAGGAATTATTCCATTTCGTCTCCAATTCAGGCAGCGATCACTCAAGAAGTTGATCGTTGGCTCCAGGACGGTATTGTGGAACATTCAACTAGTCCGTGGTCGAATCCGATTGTCATGATTAAAAAATCAAATGGTAACTATCGCCTGTGCTTAGATCTCTGTAAGGTTAACGCAATGTCACGTAAGGACGCATGTCCCCTTCCATATCTTCAGGATATCTTTGATAAGTTTCGGATTGCAAGGTACATTACCACTTTGAACATAAGCCAGGCTTACCTACAAATTGCGCTCGATGAGGCCAGAAAAGAAGTCACAGCTTTTGCCGTCCCGAAGAGAGGGTTATTTCAATTTGTTCGCATGTCATTCGTATTGACCGGAGCTCCCGGTACGTTCAAAAAATTAATTGACTGGATAGTTGGTCCTCAAATGGAACCTTTCGTATTCGCCTAATTAGGCAATATCATTGCAGCGACTCACACCTTTTCTGAATACCTATACTGGTTGCAGATAGTCTTTCGTCAACTGAAACAAGCCGGTTTAAAAATCAACCTCGAAAAGAATAAATGTTACCAGCCTTAGGTGCAATATTTAGGTTTCTTTGTCGACCAGGAAGGATAACGAATTGATCCCGCTAAATGTGAACCCGTTTTAAATGTTTCACGTCCGAAAATAATTAAACAACTACGTCGTTTTATTAGGAATGGCCAGTTAGTACCGTCGTTTCGTGCCCGACTTTGTTATCATTAAGGAGTCCTTAAACCGTGTCTTAAGGAGAAATCTGTGGGGCCAGAAGTAGGTTACGGCCTTCCAGGAGATTCAGTTGCAATTAACTACCCCCCGTATTAATTGCCCAGATTTTTCACTACCATTTACGATACAGAGCAATGCAAGCACCATCGGCCTTAGGGTTATCCTTTCGCAAGAAAATGATAGGCAGGGACGGGTTGTAGCGTATGAGAGTAAGACATTCATTGACGACAAGAGAAAATATGCCGTAACGGAACTGGAGAGCCTTCCTGTTATTTTCACGATTAATAAATGTCGATCTTATTTAGAACGATATCGTTTTCGGGTTATAGACGATTAAATTATTTACTGAAAGGGCAGTTCGAGTCTAGTACTGGATGCCTTATCGCGATCAGCGAAGGGTAGTGTCGCCTTGGCGGTCTATGCCGGCCCCATCCCGAGGTGGAGGATATCGACTCATGGTACACCAGACGAGTCGCCGAAATAACGAATCAACCCGAGAAATTTTCTGATTGGCGCCTTGAAAACGGTCGTCTATATTATCGCCGGACCGACTCTTTAATTGAACAACTTGTCGACGACCTTGACCAAAAGGAGTTGGTGTTACCTCGGAGTCAACGGTTACAGGCTTTGCAGGAGGCCCACAATGATGTTCAAGCCCGATATTTAGGGGTAGTTAACCCTTTGCGGATGAGACTTTTCCATTATAAAGGTTTTTGGGCTATTATCTGCAGACACTCGTCCGCAAAGGGTTAAGACCTTCTGTCGTTTAATCCGAGAGTATTTTTCAATCGATTATTTCAATGATGATGGTACGTATGTTCGTCGGTACGCATCTTGTCAAAGCGTGAAGGTAGAACAACAGCGTCCCTCATGATTATTTTGGCTCACGTTTGGTTTCTCAACCTTGGGTCATGGTGCTGGTGTAATGGGACCATTTCCACTAAGTCAACATCAAATTTGATATCTTATAGTGATTCTACACCTTTTTATCAAATGCTAACGGTACCGCGATCAAAGAGGCTCTTGAGGATTTGGTGCTTTGTCGTTAGGGAGTACCAAAAGTACTTCTCACCGACAATGGTACTCAATTCCTAAATAACATCTAGCGAGAATTTACGTCCTCTTATGGGATAAAGTCTTGCCAGATCCCTTCATATCATGTCCAATCTAATCTGGTGGAGAGGGTCAATCGTATATTCAAGACCATGTTAGTATCATATCTGAGAAATAATCACC